AAGCAGCAGTCAAGAAATCAAATGACGTACTGCATTAGACAAATCTGTTGCACAAGACCTTTTTAAAGTGTTGAAGAGCAAAGATGTCAGCTTGAGGACAAAGGTGCACCTGACCCAAGCCATGGTATTTTCAATAACCTCATATACATGCGAAAGCTGGACAGTGAATAAAGAAGACAGTAGAAGAATTGATGCATTTGAGTTATGGTGTTGGAGGAGAATATTGAAAGTGCCATGGGCTGCCAAAAGACCAAACACATCTGTGTTGTAAGAAGTGCAGCCAGAGTGCTCCATGGATGATAGGATGGCCAGGCTTCATCTCTCATACTTTAGACATATTGTCAGGAGGGACCAGTCACTGGAGAAGGATATCATGTTTGGTAGAGTGGAGCATCAGAAAAAAAGAGAAAGACCCCCAACGAGATGGACTGGCCAGGTGGCAGCATCGATGAACTCAAGCATGGCAATAATAGTGAGGTTGGCCCAGGATCGGGCAGTGTTTTGTTCTGCTGTGCATAGAGTCACTATGAGTTGATACCAACTTGATAGCACCTAACAACAGCAACAAATACAGATAAACAAATATTGAGAAAATTACACAAACAAAAGAAGACAAAATAGATTATTGGAATATACAAAAAAGTAGAAACTTATGTGCATCAAAAGACTTCACCCAAAAGGGTAAAAAGGCAGCCTACAGAATGGGAAAAACTCTTTTTCAATGACAAATCAGATAAGGGACTAATTTCTAAATTCTATAAGAAACTAAACACCTCTACAAGAAAAAGACAAATAACCCAATAAAAAAAAATGGGCACAGGACATGAACAGACACTTCACCAAGGAAGACATTTGGGCAGCCAACAAACATATGAAGAAATGATCATTAGCCATTAGAGACATACAAATCAAAACAACAATGAGATATCATCTCACACCAGCAAAAATAGTGAAGTTCAACAAATCAGAGGACAATAAATGCTGGCAAGGATGTGGAGACACTGGGACACTCCTGCATTGCTGGTAGGGATGCCAAATGGTCCAACCTCTCTGGAAAACAGTATGGCACTTCCTCAGGAAGTTGGAAATAGAAATATCTTATGATCCAACAATTCCTCTGCTTGGTATACATCCACAAGAACTACGAGCCATAATACAAGTAGATATATGCACACCAATGTTCATAGAAGCACTATTCACAATAGCAAAAAGTAGGAGACAACCTAAGTGTCCATCAATGGAAGAATGGATAAACTTTGGTACATACACACAATGGAATATTATGCTACCTTGAAGAATAACAAGGAAGCTGCAAGCTACAGCATAGCATGAATGAACCTTGAGGATAGTATGCTGAGGGAAATTAGTCACAAACGGACAAATATTGCATAAGACCATTATTGTAAAAGCATAAGAAAAGATACCTATACTAGAATGGGGGAAAAAAGAGAGAGAGAACGACAGAGGAAGCAACAAGATGGCGGGCTAGGCAGGAAAGCTGTACGGACCTTCTAGAACCAAGACAATGAAACCGATGCAAATGATCATCCTGGCAGCCTGTGCTTCAAATGAAGAGGTAGAGAAGTGGAGTAAATGCTTACCCATGCTGGCTCACCAGACATGGTGTGGCTGTATTAAAGTTTTCTAAGTGGCTTCAGATACAAAACAGCATATTGGCATGCAAAAACAGACATGTAGCTCATGGAGATAAAGGTGTAATTTTTCTTCTTGTTCCCTACACTCTCCTCTTGACCAGAGTTGTTGCATACACCCCACCCACATACACCCCCAACAAAGCTCCTGCTTTTCTGGCAGTCAGAATCTCATGGAGGTGGTGGCTGTCACAGCCTCATCAGGGTAAATTGGGAGCTTGCTACATTAATCCTGGCACCTAGATACAGGCGGGGCCCTACTCCAAGCCTGCAGAACAGGCCTGGCCAGTTCTGGACAAGCTCTAATCAGGAGGGGTAGCTACACAGACAACAGGGGAGAGGGTAGAGAAAAAAATAAAGGAGTCTGGTGATGAATAGACAAACTGAAGACTAGGAAAATATATTTGGAGTCCATCTATCCAAAAAAGGACTAGTATCTAAAACTCTGAATACTCAACAATAGAAATCCAATTAGAACATAAGCAAAAGACTTGAACTGACATGTCACTGAAGATCTACATATTGTAATTATTAAAATGAAGAGGTATCCAATGTCATTAGTTATTAGGGAGATTCAAATTAAAACCACAATGGAGTACCACAATGTATCTCTAAAGAAAAAACATGACAACATTAAATTCTGGAAAAGATGCAGAAATATGGCAACTCTCACACATTGCTGGTGGGAATGTAAAAGGATACACACACTCTGAAAATTATTTCTCAATTACATAACAACTAGCCATATACTTACCATGCAACTAAGTAATCTCAGTCCTGGGCATTCATCCTAGAGAAATGCAACATTGTGCTCACATAAACCTATCCAGGAATGTCTACAGTTGCTTTATTCATAATAGCCAAAAACAACCCAGGTGTCCTTCAGTGGATAAGTGGTTAAATAAACTGTGGTGCATCCATACAATGGAATGTTACTCAGCAATAAAAAAGAATGAACTACCTAAATATGGTCAATGGAGGAATGGACACAGAAACCATCATATATATACACACAATGCAACACCATGCAATGTAAAAGAGTAATGTGGAATCTGCAAAGTGCCTCAGAACATGGATAAACCTGGAGGGCATTGTGCAAGAAGTTAGTCAATTGCAAAAAGTATGTTATAAGGGACTTCTGGAACAAGATGGAGGAGTAGGCAGATACACTGAGCAGACCTGTAACAAAGACACTGGGCATACCACCCCTACAGGAGGTGTGTGAACCCACCCTGAACTACCATACACAAACAGCAGAGAATTACTTTTGTGCTTCCGGTCTCTATCACATCTACCAGGAGACAAGTAGTGAGTGCCTGAGAACACACTACCTTATAATCATCAATTAAACATAAACACACCACCACAATGTCTCCCAATAAATCAGACAATGTCAGTGTACATAAACAAAACAAAGAGCTTCAAACAAATGACCCAAATACAGAGTCAGAAAATATATTACCAGAAATGGTATCAGAACTACTCAGTAAAGAATTTTTTTTTATTTAAGTACCTTCAACACATTGAGGGAAAGATTAGGGAAAGCAAAGAGAACACAGAAAAAAAGAAAAAAAAAAAAAAACTTTAGAAGAACTCAGGAAACCACTACAAGAACTGACAAAAGAAATGAAAAATTGGAAACCATATAAAAATATCAATTAGAAAGCCAGAAGATTAATATTAAGACTTCAGGAATAGATAGTACATTGAAAGAGCACAGAAGCAGAACTGAAACAATGAAACATAAAAGTACTGAGATGGAAGACAAATCTCTCAATATTCACCTGCTAGAAGTACAATCAGACTACTAGTGTGGCACTGTAGGATAAGCACTAGATCACAAGGTCAGTTTAAACTGCAAGGTTGGTTCAAGCTCACCAGTCAGTCCTTAGAAACCCTCTACAGGATCACTTTGAGTCAGAACCAACTCAACAGCACTTAATAAAAACAGAGGTACAATCAGAAAAAAAATCATTAAAAATACAAAGAAAGTCTAAGATTTATGTGGGACACTATCAAGAAGAATAACATGTGTGACTGGAATTCCAAAACAGGAAGAGAATAAAAACAGAGAGAGAGAGGGAAGATTGTATAAGACTTGTTGGAAGAAAATGTCCGTAACACCATGAAGGACAACAAGATAGCCATTAAAGAAGCAAAACAAACTCCAAACAGGATATTCCAAGACATAATCAAACTTTTCAAAACTAAAGATAAGGAGAGAATCTTGACAGCAGCTCAGGAAAAAGGAAAAGTTATCTAATAAGACTAAGCTCTTCACAAGCGGAGTGCAGGACCCTATCCAGAGAAGCAGTGACACCAGAGATGGAGGCAGAGGTGAGGACATGCAGAGAGGGAGCAGCTGACTAGGGAGTGTTGTGGAGCAGACAGATAAGCTGGATAAAAACACTGGAGTGCTAACTGTTAGGTTGGCAATTCGAGCCCAGCAGTGGCTGATGGGAGAAACATGTGCACTAGTAAAGATTTACAGTCTCAGAAATCCTACACTGGGTCGCTATGAGTCAAAACCAACTTGATGACAACAATAAATAATTTACATTATCTGAAAAACAGTAATAAAAGAAGTAGAGCAAGCAGTATGTATCACTGTTGTTGTTTTAAGTCATGTAAGCTTAGGCAATATATAGTCAAGCAGAAATTTTAAATGAGTTTAAGAATACCTGGAAAATTCCATGAAGGAGAATCCATATCCATGCTGCTCAGCGATGCCTGCACAAACAACATTGGCTGATGCTCCAATCAGGGTTCCATTGCCTGAAATCAGAATCAAATGTCCGTTTGTCTTGGTGACATGCTTCTGTTTTCCTGTGTTCTGCTACAGATTTGGACCATCTTACAGGTTCTTGACTTATTCAGTACTTTAAAGATAAGTCAAAGTGATTGTTTTGCAAATATCAGGTGAAATCCCACTGTCAACCAAAAAGTAACTCATCTATTTGTAAAAACCACAAGTCATTTATACGAGAAGGCTTCAAAAAGTTCATGGAAAAGTTCCATCATAGATAGGACTGGAACTGTTTATATGCTAGAAAACAAGAAAAGCTAAGGAATATTTGTAAAACCCTGTTGGTGAAGAAGGTATTTTTTTAGAGGGATATGAAAACAGGGTCATATCAATGGGAGAATGAGTGCCCTTAGTACAGTGAAAACTACCTTCCTCAAATGCTACTTCAAAACTTAGACAAATACCAGGAAATCCTGTTGGAAGAAAAATACCTGTACACATGCCAAAACCTTGGATAAAGTACTTTACTTGGCATTTATCATGTAAGTACGTCTGTATTGATATGAAATTCATCTCTTGAGTATTTATATGACCTTTGATGGGACATACAAACCAAGAGATCTATGTGAAGAATATGACTCAAGACTGGCCTCGCTTTATTACCTACCCACCTTCCCAGCCCACCACTCGTCTGTCACTTTTGCTGCAGTACAGTGGCTTCTGTGTTGCTGTGATGCTGGAAGCTAGGCCACCAATATTGTAAACACCAGTAGAGTCACCCATGGTGGACAGGTTTCAGCTGAGCTTCCAGAGTAAGACAGACTAGGATGAGAGACAGACTATTTCTGAATATTTAGTCATTGAAAACCTTCTGAATAGCAGTAGAACACCGTCAGATAGCACTAAGCACTGAATATTTAAAAATTATGAATATCACCAGAATATTGTTAGAGACAGTGCTGGAAGATGAGCCCCTCAGGTTGGAAGGCACTCCAAATACGATAAGGGAAGACCAGTCTCTACAAGAAGAGTTCAACATGATGATGCAAATGGATAAAAGCTTTCGGAACCTTCATTTGCTGATGGGTTACAAGATCAAAATGAGGAGAAACAATGGTAAACATCTGGTAATAATTGAAACATAGAATGTACAAAATATGAATTTGGAAAATTGAAATTGTCAAAAATTAATGAAAGACATAAATATTGATTTCTGGGCATTAGAAAGCTGAAATGAACTGCTATTGGCCATTTTGAATCTGAGAGTCCTATGGTTTACGATGCTTGGAATGACAAATTTAAGAGGAATGATGTGACATTCATCATTAAAACAGTTTTCAAGATCTGTCTTGAAGTACAATGCTGCCTGTGATAGGATAATACCCATATGCCTACAAGGAAGGTAACTTAATACCACTATTATTCAAATTTACACACCAACCACTAAAGCCAGTGATGATGAACTTGAAGAATTCTACCAACATCTTAAGTCTGAAATTGATCATACATGCAATCAAGATATACTGATAATTTTGAAAGGAAAGGTTGGGAACAAAAAGGAAGAACCAGTAGTTCGAAAATATGACTTTGGTCACAGAAACTATGTTGGAGATTGCATGAAAGAATTTTGCAAGACCAATGGCTTCTCCATTGTAAATACTTTCTTTTAAATAACATAAAAAACAACTATACTAATAGAGCTGAACAGGAAATTTCAAAGATCAGCTCGAGAAGATAAAGCCAAATACTATAATAAAATACGCAAAGATTTAGAGTTAGAAAACCAAAAGGGAAGAACACGGTCAGTATTTCTCAAGCTGGGGGAACTGAAGAAAAAATTC